AGGAGAAGCAGGAGAAGGAGAAGCAGGAGAAGGAGAAGCAGGAGAAGGAGAAGCAGGAGAAGGAGAAGCAGGAGAAGGAGAAGCAGGAGAAGGAGAGGCTTGCGAAGGAGAGGCTTGAGAAGGAGAGGCTCGAGAAGGAAAGGCAGGAGAAGCAGAGGCAGGAGAGGCAGGAGAGGGAAAGGCGGCAGAGGGAAGAGAAGGAGAAGGAGGACCGGAAGAAGCGTGAAAAGCGAGAGCAGGAGGAGAGGGAGAAAGAGCAATGGGACAAGTTCTTCAAGGAACAAGAGAGGGAGAAAAAGGAAGCTGAATCGAAGAAAGGGGACAAGGACGAGCACGACCACAAGAAGGGTGGTGACCATGATAGGAAGTCGCCGCTTTCTCCTGGACCTTCTGGCAATGGATCGAGCTCTGGCGGAAAAGGCGGCGATGAAGATGGGCATGATGGCTATAAACCTGGCGGTGGAAGCTCGACCGTCCGCTCAGAAGGGACTAACAAGAGCGAACCCAATCAGACCTTGCCTTCTTCACAGGCAGCAAATCAGGCCCAGACGCAGACGCCGCCAGCCATGCAAGCTCGGGCTGCTTCACAGACCCGGTCCGATATACTAACCTCGCCATGCAGCGTTGCCACCACAAATGAAGTAGGAAACGCTCAACCAGACGCCTCTGACTCTGCTCAAGGTGCTGCGGATGTCGGACAGAGCGCGATCAAAGACAAGAGCCAGACGGGTGCAAAGCCTTCACCGCTTGTTCTGGATTCATCTAACACGGATTTTTCGAACTCCGTAGCCGGCGCTTCCAGTCCTACCAAGCTCAAACCCGCCCTTGACTCCGGTGCTGGAACTACAAACTCCCCCTCCGGCTCACCGGATACGCCGGGAACAAATACCAATGGTCTGTCCGAGGAACCGGTGACCCCATCACGTCCGACTCTGACGCCGAAGTCAGTGCGGAGCAAACTTAAAGGTGCGAAGTCTCCAAACCTTTTCGGCGCTTTGAAGGCCGCAGGATCTGAAGTAACTGGAAAATATCCAAAGTCAGCTAGTGGCGCCGTCTCCCAAGGGTTCGATCCCGATGACCGGAATACTCAGTCTGAGGTAATGTCTGATGAGCATCTTTCTGCTTCGAAGCCGCTTTCCAGCAACGACGATATTGAATCGCTTGCTAAACGCCAACAGGCCGCTTTCGCCCAACCACAGGCTCCCTCTCCAAGCAATGGTGCTTTCTCGTTTAGTTCCAGCCAGCAGAATCCGAAGACTAGCGCAGGCAGTGGTCCTCCTTCATTTCCCTCCGCCACCGGACGGCCACTGAGTTTTGGCGGTGCTTCACCGACTCTGACGAGTCCCGGTGTATTCCCCTTTGGAAGCGCTCCAGTCTCTAGTCCTGGATCTCCAATCGCCACAAGTGCCAGCACGTTTAGCGCTGCAACGCCAACGAATTTCACGTTTCAGCGTTCTCCCGTTGGTGGTCCAATACGCTCCGGAAAGCCACGGAAAGGTAAAAGGCACGTTAAAACTCGCGGCGGCAATATTCCTTCATCTACGCATTTGCCGGCTCCAAGAATACCTAGCCCCAAGCTGCCCCATAGTAGCTTTACTGTGCCAAGTGGGACTTCAGGGAATAACGGAGTCATAAGCAGTGCCCAATCCCAGCCAGGGCCTACCCAGCCATCGGAAAATCATGCTATCGAAAACACCGAAAACTCAGCGAGTTCGGATACGCCCATGCCAGACGCAGGGACTTCGCGAGAGCTCACCCCGGCTGAGAAGATGAAAGGGTTACTGAAAGATCTCGACTCGACGCCTTCCGCACATACCACCAATGAGCCCGCTAACAGCATAGCAGAACAGTCTGTAGAGTCCGCCCAGCCACCCGGGACGGGCTCGGAGCATCCTTTCTCGACCAAGCCCGCGCACTCGCAGCAGGATACTCTCATGAAAGATGCTGAAGCCGAGGTTTTCAATCCTTTGCCTGAGGATCTACCGGCCCCGGGCGCAATTACTATCCCGGAATGGGATCGTCGGCAACTGAAACAGCGGCTCGAGAAAGAACGTTTGTACACTCCTCCACCGGTCACTCCTGGTTCTAGCGCAAGCCGCATGACCGCCCAAAACCCCAACCCGGATAATTATTCAACAGCGACGAATCCGGGTAGCTATTCACAGCAACGGTACCGTGGATCACGCTGGACGCCGCAACCGGCATATAGTCCATCAAGCCCGTGGTACTCCCAGCCACCGCCCGCATCTCTTAGGCCGAGACCGACAACCCCACCGTATTCTCGGAGTAGTTACACACAAGAGCCTCGATCTTCGTCAAGGACAGACACCGTGGTAGACAACCGTTTTGTGTACGAGAAGCTGCCTGAGAGAGAACGTCCACAGCACCCGAGCTACGAGTCCGCCAGTCAGGGTGCGTACTATAGGATCAGGAGTATTTCTTCGGTCCCTCTATACAGTCCCACTGCGCCCGCTACCACATCCGCCACTGCAGATGCTCCTGGAGCTGGAGCTGCGCCTGCTCCCCAAGAGCCCGCTGGCCAAGCGGCACCTACTTCTTCGCCGTCGCGCGGATCGGGCCCCCAAACCGGAGATGCGGAGGATGGGGTATTCGATCCTCTCGCCGGAACTCGTCGGTGCTAGCCTCAGAGTAGCTCAGCCCCATATACACACTCCACGGCCATGCACTCCTTGGACGCCGGCGCCAACATAGAACACTCTACGCCTTGGCGCGCATTTAGTGCCGTCGGCGGCCTGTAGGGAACACATCCTTCTGAACCCTTACTGTGGTGCGCCTGCCGTCTTGGTTGCATTCGTGCAAAGCTAGCTTGGAGCGGACGAGCTGGATGACGAGGAGATTGCGAATGTTACGAGGTGGGGAGCGGAGAGGAATGAGGAGGAAGCGGCGGAGCAGGAGGAAGCCCTGAAGAAAATGGCCAAGGCTGACGCGAAGAAAGCCTTGATGGGATGGATCAATGCTAGGGCGGAGACAAGGGCCGCGGCGGTGGATGTCCTGCCGCGCAGGGCTGCAGCCGAGATAGGTTTGATCCGGCCGATTACGATCGCTCCGAGCATCATGACGGTGGCATTGGTGAGCATGACTGGTAGAATTTTTTGTTAGATTGGCATTCTTTTTTTTGCGATGTCTGTAATTCTAGTCTGGCGCTTTGTATGTTTAATGAATTATTTGTTATCTCGTCATTGAATACCTTGCACATACTCTACTCTTCCCTTCCGTTCACGTCTTCAGTATAAACCGTGCTAAACCCTTGTTCAATCTCGCTCCCTACCTCCCCATCAACGCCATCAAAGTCATCGCAAACTTGCTCCTCAGAAAACCGCCGCCGTGGGGCTCGCTAGCTACACCGTGGACTCGCCCAGCAAGGTCTCGCTATCCTACCGTCAATTTCTCCACGATGGGCGTATATTCCCGCTTCCTTCTGCCGTCCGTGTTTGTTGCCGTCACGTGCACTGGGCAATACAGCGACGCCGGACCATGCTGCTTCGGGCGTGCCCAGCGATAAGCGAAGGATTGTGGCCCGTGCGAGACAGCAATCATACCGCTTCAGGCTCGCGCAGCTCCAATGTGGCCCTTGCGCTCCATAAGCGGAGAAACTTGCGGTTAGCGTGCTCTCACGTGATGTCTCGGCGCCAAGGGGCGCTAGTGGCAGCCCACTCCCATATAAGCCCGCCCACCGTCTTCCCTTCTTCCCACTCCACCAATTCAACCTCAAAATCGTCTCAACTCTTCATCTTTCGAGTCGTCTCAAATCTCTTTTCGACGCTATGATTTTCATACCTTACAACCTTCGGCTTCAAGCCTCATCTCAAGTATATCTTCTCTGAGTCCACTTCATCGCAGCACTCACTGATACATATCAGACTATCCTACCATGACATCATTGTCTCAAGTCTACCTCTACCTCCCTTGAGCTCAGTCTACCTCATCGACACAGGTCTTAGTCATGTCATTCAACTCTGAGGCCACATAGCCTCCCATGACTCCATGTCAACTACAAGTATACTTCCATCTACCTTCATTGATATGTTACTAATACCTTTAGTCACTCTTCAACAAGTCGAGTCTTCTCTTCACCTTCTACCTTCAACTCTACCTCCGGCTCTACCTTACTCTCTACGTCGCCTTCATCGCCTTTCGTCTCTGTCATCACTCTATACCTCGACCATTACCTCAATTCGACACCGTCCTCACCATCTCACCACGCAACTACAATTCCCTCTCCACGGCGGATTCGACGCCCAGGCTGAAGTCTTCCGAGTAGGCCTCGATACGTTCCATACGTTCCGATTCAAGGTTACCAAGGGTTCGAGCGGTTCGGCTACAGCGCAAGCTGTAGGGGAGTTCATGTTGTTTAAGTCCTGCGTGGAATCTGAGGGTCTTCGTACCTGGCCTAGGCAGCAACCTCTCACCTCTTTCCACGTGTGTTGGACCATCCGCTCGATATCGCAAGAGTTATCTAGTACAGGGTGTGGTACTAAGGCCACAGGGTCCCTTGAGTCGGATGTTGGTCATGCTCTCAGGGTTTGGGTCTTTCATGGATGTTAGGGTTTACAGGTGCTTGGGTTCAATCATGGTTGATGGTCTTAGATGTCTGGGTTTACAGGGTGCTCCTACAAGTGAGCTGAACACATCGAAAACAATACATTCTCTCACATACCATTCATCTTCCCTTGTCCTGTACTCGTTCGTGACTGCTTTCCACTCATACTTTGCGACTACGCTCAGGTTTAAGGTGCCTTCTCCGGTGCAGTACTAACACATATGACCTGCCTGCGTAGCCTGGAGTCGCTAACTATCTCAAGTATTCCCCTGCATCAATCCTGCTCACCCTGCTCTGCGTCGTATCACGGCCACCGTACTGGTCTATGGTGAGTGAGATACATGCAGATGCGCACCATGCTCATTCCGCGCCGCCACTATCCGGAAACCGTGCACACCAGAGAGCGAGTAAGGTCTGCGTTTGGGGTTTGAGGTTTGGTATGGTGGCTGGTAACTTCGTCGGTCCGTCTGTCCGTCTGTCCGTCTGTTCGCATGGATTGAGTTTCACCACAGTTTTAAAAGGCTGTTCGTGGAGGGCGAGAGGGCGAGAGGGAGGGAAGGCGTACGTCGGTCGAGTTCGGCTTTAAGGGCCTGCGAGATGTAGTTTCAAGACTGACTAGGTATTCCTGACAGTGGTTCTCCTATCAGAAGAGGTACGGCAACGTGAACTAGATAGCTGGAAAATCAATGAACGGGGTTCGCAGCTCTTTCTCAGCACGCGCATGCGGGAGGGTGGGAAAGTCTCCGCTCTGGTGGAGTTGGGTGGGATTGGTGCGATGGGGACTGGTAAGAGGGAGGGAGGGAGGGAGGTTGAGGAGATTTCTCGAGGAGCGGATTCGCAACTTCAGCGTCTGCCTGCGCAAAAGGGGGAAAGTCTCGGTTTGGCTGGGCCAGTGATGGTTTGCACATGCAGCCCTCCCTGGGTTGGAGTGTTTGTCGCTGCGCATACATGCAGTTGTTTAGGAGGGCGAGACAGTTGAGATAGGCGGGGCTTTGGCCATTTGCGTGGTGGAGTGGAGTGGAGTGGATGATCAATTACGTCGGCAGTAAGGGGACTCGCGGGGTCGGTCGGCGGTGAATTTCTCAGCCCTGGTGGGTGGAGACCAAGGGAGAGAAGTGTTGGAGACGGTCAATGGTGTGAAGGAGAAGCTGTTCAAGGCGGACGTGATGACGATTCTGGTTGTTGGCTATGGTCACGGTCATGGTTAAGCGTACGTGGCAATCGATATCGGGAATTGGTTGACGGTGTTGTGTTGGCTCGCAAATATCGACACCAGCTGCGCTGTGAATGCATTGAAATTGAACTCGTTGGCCCAACGGCGCCGTATGTAGCTACGCACGCATACCCACTTCCCCTACATTCCCTCGAGCAGGCCGAGCCTCGACTTCTTCCCCTCTTCATCATATCTGCCTGATCATATTCCTATTCCCTCGACGAAACGCGCACTTCCCTCCTCTATATAAACCCCCACCACACGCCTCTCGCCCACCCGCACCGCGAGCAACCTCCACCCTCCATCCTCAACCACAGTTGTCCTTGCACATCAACATCAACAACCAGAATGTCCTCCTCCCCAAGCGAACAGTTCAAAAAGTACCGCGAGCATACGCGCTCGGACTCGACGGACTCGGACGATTCACGTAAGTCGCATTCAATTCGGGAAATTCTCCTTCCCAGCATTATAATTTGCCCAGGGGATTAGAAGGCAAGAACTGACGGGAAGATAATAGTGCCATGCCATACCGCGCCGCGGTTCCACGATGCGGGGGCGACGTGGGCTGGTACTGATACGCCTCCGGTTGGGACTACTTCGCCGGTACCGAGGGTGTTGATTCAGGGTATGCAGAAGTTGAATGTGTCTGGACGGGGACGGGCTAGTGCTGTCAAGGGCCCTGGGGATGTTGCTGAAGATGCTAAGGTGATGGCCACAGGGGCTTCGGCAGCAGAGGAAGACGAGGAGAAGGACATGGAGAGGGCAGCCGGACTCCCAGACCCCGATACGCCGATGAGAGGAACCAACTCCCTCAACTGGTACAACGACATGCTCGATCCTGTCATGGCCACGCCCTCCGCCCCGAAGACGCAAAGCACCTCGACCGGCGGCGCCGGTGCGCCAGTCTCAAGTCCCATCTTGCGCGAGGCCTCGACGGTCGCTCAGAAGAAGACCACGACGACGGGACCCGCGCGCCGGGCGCTTGGAAAGAAGAATCCCGCTGCTCTGAATCTGGGCCCTTCTTCCCCCAAGGCGAAAGGCTTCAATGCCGCGGCTTTCCTCAGGGAGAACTGGGCGTCTAGTCTGCGCGCGTCGGAGTCTATGATCCTGCTAGATGCCGCGGATGCTGAGAGCAGCGACGAGGATGTCCTGCTTGAGGACCGCTATGCGGTGATGCGCCGCGAGGAGAAGCGTATTCGGCGAGCGAAAGCGGAGGCTGAGCGTGCTGCTGCTGGGCAGGACGAGCAGATGAATGCCGTAAGGCGGGATCCGTACGGAAACCCCTTCGTATCGTCTCTGCGCGACGCGCCCGCAGTCGCAGTGGCTGCCGGCAAGAAAGCGCCGGCGACGCAGGCCAGCGCCCGCGCAGCGTTTACCCCCGCCAGCGCAGACGACGCGCGCAAGAAACGCAGCAAGCCCACCACCACCTCCCCCATCTTCAAACCGCACCGCCATGGCGACGACCTCCCCGATCCCTCTCTCTCCCCCGTCTCCCCCGCCAAACCCTTCACCCGCTACCGCACCGCCGCCGAGCTGCACAACCCCGCCTCCTGGTCCCCGACCTACGACCGCGCGGCCCGCACGCGCATCCCGACGCGCAGCTACAGCAGCTCCGACCTTGAGTCGCTCAAGGCCTCCACACATACCGTGGTACCCAGCTCGCGCGCTCGCGACGCACTAGCTGCCTCGCTCGCCGAAGCCATGGCGACGCCGCTCGTCGACGACGACGACAACTGGGTCCAGGCGCTGGGCGCCGCAGACGTGGGCGCCATCATCACCGCGTCGCCGCCCAAGCCGCGCCGGGCGCGCCTCCCGAGCTTCGCGATGCAGTACACGAGCGCGCTGGACAAGACGCGCGGGCCACTGCGCACCACGTCGGATGGGAATCTCATCGCGGAGGACACGGGCGACTGGCTGCTGCTCGACACGCCACCGCACGATGCCGAGGACCGCGTCGATCTTGCAGCGAAAGCGAACACTGCGCGTAGACGCTCGAGCGCGAACGGCCCCGTCATCGGCATGCCCGAGGCGAAGAACGGCGCCACGGGGCTGGACGACCCGCGCAGGCGCAAGCCCGTGGCGCGCGTGCTGAGGAATCGCATTACGGGGAGCGATCGCTTGCCGCCGCCTGGCTTGGGGAAAGAGGAGAATGGAGTGCCGAGCCTGGAGGAGCTGAGGGAGGTGATTCGCGAGCGGAGGAGGGATATGGATGAGCGCGTTGAGAAGAGCGTGCTGCGGGGGATTGCGAGACATCTGGGGCCGGTCGTGGAGAGGGAGTTTGGGGAGGGGTGGGCGGAGCGCGCGAGGGGCGATCGGGGGGTGTTTAGGAGGGTGTTGGATTGGACGCTTGCAGTTGAGATACGGGAGGAGGTTTTGGAGCGTGCGGATGGGGTGGTGGGTAAGGAGGCTGGGGAGGTCGAGGAGTAGGATGGAGCTGCTTCGGATATGGTCTGTCTGAGGAGAGCGGCTGGTCGTTCTGGGCTGGATGGGTGATTTTGCGCTTGTATCGAGCGGATGTGATGGTATGGTTTCTTGAGCCGGGAATGATAGTGAGCCATTCTTCTGCCTTCTTCCCGGTGTCCGCGTGGCTATTCTTCTTATACGCTGGCCCGCCATTAAAGCATTGATCGGCCCTACGCTTCCTCTTGCCCAGCGTCCCAGCTCCCAACGCCGTCCCCCACCCTCTTTCCCGGAGCCGTGTCTGCGAGAGGCACTTCGGCGCATTGTTCCCATGCAGTGACACCCCGCCCCAAGCCCTCTCAAGCATGCAAGCACAATCCCAACCCTCCCAATCTTCCACCGCCTCTCAAGGAAACGTGCGACTCCACGTATAATTAACCTTCTCCGGCTCTCCCCTCTTCCCCCTCCCCGCCCACTGCGCCGCAAACCCCACCGCCTCGCCCATGAACGCCTCGACGCTAAACCGCTCCGCACACCCCACCCTCTGCAGCTCCTCCAGCGCGCGCCCCACCCACGCCACCGCATCCGCCACCCCGCTCCCGGGGTCGCTCGGCAGCGGCACGCCGCGCAGCACGTCCGCGACGTCCGCGCCGCCCATGCCCTCGACCAGCTTGCCCACCATGATGCGCCCCAGCATGCGCGCCGGCGGCGCCGCGTGCGCGTCGATGCTCAGCCGCCAGCCGAACGGGTTCGCGGTGCTGGCGTAGGCCACGCTGTCGGCGACGCTGAAGGACGTCCCGGAGCCGCTGGGGTTGTGCTTCGGCTCGATCCAGAGGCCCCAGTCGTAGGCGTGCGGCGTGGATTTCGCGGCTTTGAGGGCTTTGAGCGCGCTGGAGTGCGTGCTGGCGGAGTGGAGGGAGGTGCCTGGCGGGAGGTAGATGGCGACGAAGACGCGGTCTTTGTTGCTCATTGTTGGGGGGTGGAGTGAGGGGGTTTGGGGGGATTATAGATTATATGTATGCGCGATGTATTAAGCACGAGGTTGGAGTAAGTAGTAGAGAGCGGCTATGAATCGCCACGCGCTGCTCAGAATTCGGAGGAACGAAAGCGAGAAAAGAAAAAGAGAGCAAAAGAGCGCGAGCGACGACGACAGAAGAATAAGGGTTCATTTAAGCAACACCAGCTCCAGCGCTACACGACTCATGCCCTGCGCTTAACAAGCGCAGTCCCGATTAGCTGGCGCGGCACCAAATATGTAGGGCCGCCTTAGCTGCATAACTTGCCCGGAAGCTGCCGTCCTTTCGCACGCAGTGTACGTCGAGCCGACATGCGACGGTTCTAGAGCCGCCCTAGCGGCGCCATCCTTCCGATGGGCCACGTGGAGCCACGCACGTTTCCGGGAAAGTTTGTTTGGACGTTTGTTGAGGGCGGTGTATGTAGCCGGGGAAGCTCGTACCGGGCCGGGAAGTGCCTCGGCAATCGTGGGCGGGTGCCATTTTCTGATAGAGAAGAGGGGAGGAGCAGAAACACGTTGGAAGCGTATTACTATTAAAGGCACGCCATAGAACTCTTGAGGTGGGTGTTTGAAAGCTGGACGACGTCCTGCTTCTACACTTTTCGGTCCTACACAGGCGGTATGTATCGATCACGTGATGGTGTTTCGTTCGCCTGCCGGGGGACGCGGAATATCTTCAATGTTGGGCAAGCTGTATGTACGGGACTGTGTAGTAGAGTGTTTGTCCATGTTGAAAAGGAAAAGACTCATTCCGTCGACGTTTAAAATGTTGTGAAGACTTCCGGAAAAGGGGCCTATCGATAACAAACGGCCCGATATCGCCAAGACTAGCGGTTTTCGCCCATCCCTATGTCCACATCACCTTAGCCGCACAACGCCTCCAGGGCTGTTTGTACCGTTGCACTTGAACGCCTCCTAAACGGGCTTTCTCCAGGAATCTCCTGACGCGCTTCTGTATCTGTCTGCTCTTAGGTCTCTGTTACCCCAGCCGCGACCCAGCTTATGCCTTTTCGTCTGTCCCCCCTGAATCTCACCACGAGCCCATCATCTCCTCTCATCGTGACATGCAGCCAGAAACATCAGATCGATGTTCATGCGCTATGCCAGGGGCCCTGGTGTCAATAGTCCCTGCATTACTCTCATCTGCGCTTCGATTGGCAGGCATGCCACAGCGAAGTTCACCCAAGGCCCGTGCGCTCTTACCATCCCTGCCATGCTGTGCCTTTTTGGGGGCGGAGAGAACGCTTGGATCCTTTTGGCAGTTGGGGATTTAGGAGAGCTAAGGTCTGATTTTCGTGAGGTGGAGAGGTGAGGTTTTTACTTTCTGTCTCTCGCTGCACGCTGTGTGAGGTAGTCTGTCGCTCGCTACGCTCGCTATGATGTCGCGCTCTCTGGTTTCGCGCCTGTGCATGCTTCTGCTTCTGCTTCTGTTAAGAGGGGACTCGGTTTCTGCATTTGCGTTCCGCAGCCTGGGTATGTTGCCGTTCCGCTTCTTGGGTCTCGTATTACCGCCCGTCTCGAATTGCGACCTCGTATCGCCCATCTCCACAGCTTGACGTGCAGCATCGGCACACGCGCGCCTCTTCGTATCACGCTCGCTAACTAACCACCACACTGCAGGCCTCAACTCAACGACTACCTTTCCCACCGCTCCCTCTCCCCCGCCAATCGAAGCCACCAGCTCCCGCCAGCCGAAAATCCACCTCGAGAGCAGCGCGACCGGCTTCGAAGAGACTCCGCAAAGCACGACAGAGCCGCACATCCGCTCCATCGAGTCGCTCGTCGCGCACTTCGAGAGCAGCGCATCTGACTTCGGGAGTGGTGACCCGGAACCCACGCCGCCAACCCATGGCTCCGATATCCAGCGCCCGCATCTGGAGACGTCGGCAGCGGGCTTCCAAGCCGGTGTCACGGACGCGCAACAACCGCAGCCCGCGAGTACTCCGAGGGGGAACGTGATCGCGCCAACCCTAACTGTAGTCACGAATAACGGGCAGACGTTCACGCCCGTGCCCGCGACCAGCGTGGTCATCGGGAGCTACACGCTCACGCCCGGAGGAGGAGGGACGGCGACGCTGGGAACTGGGCAGAGCGCGACGAGAGTGCATCTCGATGCCAGTGGTAGACCCGTCGTTGTAGTAGGAGATAGCACGTCGACGGTCCAGTATGCGCCTTCCGCGACCGTAGTCGAGGGGCAGACGCTCGCGCCTGGAGGACCTCCGGTTACCGTGGGCGAGGGAGCCCGGGCTACGACTTATTCGATCGACGAGGCGGGGCAGACGGTCGCGGTTGCGGACGGCGTAACGTCTACGCTGGCTCCTGCGGGTGTGCAGGTTTTCACGGTGGGCGATGTGACGGCCACGGCAAGGGCGGAGGAGTATCAGTACGTCGTTGCTTCGGCTACGCTTGCTGTGGGCCACGCGGTTACGATATCTGGGACCGTCGTCGAGCTCACCACCGATGCGGAGGGCGCTACGCTGCTTGTGGCGGGGGAGTCGACGACCACTCTTCTCCCGGCTGTGGTGCTGGGCGATGTGACAAGCTCAAGCGATGCATCGCAATCCACAGCAACAACCGGCGTGAGCGCGGGACGGACTACGTCGGTGGCTGCTGCTACCCCGGGCGTGGTGAGTGCCGGTCCCGACCCGAGTGCTACGGGTGGCGGGTCTGGCGCTGGGGACCTGCGCCTGAAGAGGTGGGATGTTGGCGTCGCGATTGGGGTGGCTTTGGCGATCGGCTGGGGGTGAAGTATGCTCGTGCTTGGAGAGAGCAAAGTCCTGGATCCGGTCAGCCATGCACGCCCCGTCGGGAGGATAGCCGTAGACGTCTCAAAGGCGCCTATATGGCTTCCACTCCGTATTACCCATCCGAGTGGCCTTCAACACACTTCGCGCGGTGACTGATATAGATGGAGAAGGGATTGGAGGAGAGCATGGTCGGTCATGAGTGGGTAAGATATCACATCACGTCACATAGCCAAAGACACTAGATGCATATAAAAAAACTTTTATTTTCTAACTCCCTCTCCCCCTTCACCCCACGACCCACCGAAAACTAAACAAAACAAAAAGGCAACGCCGCGCGGTCGCCAGCCCCGCCGAAGAAGCCGCCTCCTACTTCTTCAGCAGCACGCCAGCAGCAGCCAGCGACCGCGCAGCGAAGCCCCCAGCCGGCCGGACAGCGGCGGAGGCGGCGGCAGCGGACCGGACCGCCGCGCAGGAGTCGACGAACGCGTCGTCGGGCGTGGACGCGTCGCCCCTGATCTCCTGGCGGGCCTGGGAGCTAGTTAGCAATCAAGTCAAGCAGGAAGAGATAGATAGAAAGAGAAAGGAAAAGAAGGAAGAGAGTAACGTACCCGTGCATCCGCCGCCGCCGACTCCAGGATGAACTCCACCGAGGAGTCCGAGCCGCTCTCGGACGCCGCGGCGTCCTCATCATCCTCCTCTTCCTCCTCCTCCTCCACCGCCGTCGGGGCCGGCAGAGCCGGCAGAGCGCCGTCGCTGCTCGACGCGCGCAGCAGCGCGACCCTCGCGTCGTCCGCTTCGCTCCACGCCTGCAGCTGCGCGACCCCGACGGCATCCACCATCTCCAGCGCGCGCCGCTCCGCCGCCGCCGCGATGCGCAGCCGGCGCACCACGTGGAACAGGCACGACTCGCAGGCGGCCGGCTCGCCGCCGCAGCGCAGCTTCGCGGTCGCGGCGGACAGCTCCGCGAGGGCGGCATCGCGGTCCAGCGCCGCGGCCGCAGCGGCGCTCTGGTGCGCCAGCGCGTCGCGGCGCGCGCCCAGCAGCGCTTCCTGGACGCCGGCGAGCGTCGCGCCGGTGCTGTCCTGCTGCGCCGCCAGCTCGCCGTTGCGCGCGACCACCGCCGCCAGGTGCGTCTGCGCGTCGTGGAAGTAGAGCGTCATCAGCGCCGCCTGGTGCTGGGCGGCGCCCAGGTCGCGCGTCAGCGAGGCGGCGGTGGCGGCGAGGTCGTCGTTGTGCGCGGCGAGGCGGGCGAGCTGCTGCTGCAGGGTGCTGGGGACGTGCTTGTGCTGCGTGGTGGCGACGAAGCAGCTGAAGACGGCGAGCACGACGAAGAGCTGGACCAGCGCGGTTTTCTCGCCGCCGGTGGAGGCGGCGTCGAAGGCCGCGAAGGCGGAGGTCGTGTCGGGGTCGGAGTCGGAGCCGGACGTGACGTAGAGGAAGTCGGCTTCGACGAGGTGGTCTTGGAGGGTCTGGACTTTGGCGGCGAGGTCGTCCTTGTCTGTCTTCATCTTCGCCAGCGCGTCCTCGGCTGCGGTGAGCGTGGTGGCTGCGGCGTGCTCGGCGTCGACGTGCTGTTGTTCGAGGGTGGCTAGCTGGGTGAGGAGCTCCTTGTTCTGCTTCTTGAGAGCGAGCTCGGACTTCCTGGCGTCGAAGTAGTTGTTCTCGTACTTGGTGGCGTTGGTGGTGGCCTCGTTGAGCTTGTATGCGGTGACGTTGTTGGTGAGAGTGAGGTTGGAGAGCTCGCGCTTGAGGGCAGCGATCTCCTGGTCTTTGGTGTGGGTGAGGTCGGTGAGCTTTTGGTCATGAATGTGCTTGATGGCTTCAAGTTCCTGGTCCTTGGTATTGGTGAGGTCGGTAAGCTCCTGGTCCTTGGTGTTGGTGAGGTGGTTGAGCTCTTGGGCTCCAGCACGCTTGATGGCGGCAATCTCTTGGTCTTTCGTGTCGGTGAGGACGGTAAGCTCCTCGTTATGAACATGCTTGATGGCGGAAAGCTCCTTGTCCTTCGTGTTGGTGAGGTCGGTGAGCTCCTGATCATGGGCACGCTTGACGGCGGCGAGCTCCTTGTCCTTCGTGTTGGTGAGGTCGGTAAGCTCCTGATGATGAACGCGCTCGACGGCAGCAAGCTCCTGATCCTTAGTATTGGTGATGTGGGTGAGCTCTTGGGCTCCAACATGCTTGATTGCGGCAAGCTCCTTGTCCTTGGTATTGGCGAGGTCGATAAGCTCCTGGTCATGAACAGACTTGATAGCGGCAATCTCCTCGTCCTTCGCGTTGGTGAGCTCGCTAATCTCCTGATCGGCAGCACGCTTGACGTCCTCGATCTCGCGCTCATGAGCGTGTTTGAGAGTCGCGATGTCAGACACCTTGTTGTGGTCGACATTCAGAACGAGCCATCCCGACTTGTACCCCTGCTGGGGCTCGACGGTCATGTGGGCGACCTTGGGGGACTTGACCTGCTCCTTGATGATCTGGACGTCGGAGTCGGCTTGGCCCATCTTGACTGCGCTCTCTTCGAGAGCCGCCTTGGCGATCTTGAGGTGAGCCGCGGCGTTGTCATTGCTGGCGTGGGCCTTTGCGATGGCGAGTTCGGTGTTCTTGTTGCAGTCGGCGAACTTTGCGCGGAGCGAGGCGAGGGTGAGAGACATTGTGAGTGAGGTGAGGTAGGAAAGGAATTGGTGAGGTAGAAGACGACCTGGTGAGGTAGAAGACGACCTGATGAAGTAAAACTCGGAATTGGTGAGGTAAAGACGCCCCGGTGAGTGTATAACAGCAGCTAGGTAAAGAGATCTCGAAGCTTCAGAGAGCAGAGAGCAGAGCAGAGAAGTCGCAAAGAAAGCTGTACGTCTGAGACGATGCTGGTGTTGAAGCTATCGGTGCGATGATAGTGGAGAGAAGAAGAGGAAGAGGAAGAAAAGTCTGCAGTGAAGCTCGCCACAAAAGCTCTCGGGGGCACGCAACTGCCTCACTTGACGTCAGAAGGGCGCGTCGCGCGCCGGTGTAGCGGTGAGTCTTCGAATTGGTGAGTGCGGATTGGCTGGGCGCTTTGTTTTGGAAGGCGGCGGAGGCAGTTAGGTTTTAATTGCGGCTTGGCGGGGAGATTGCGTGATGGGCTGGCTGAGAGAGTGAAAGGTTCAGAGGGAGGAGAGGAAGGTGGGTTGAGCTCGGTGGCGAGCGGGCGGCTGGATGCTCGTGTAGAGCGTGTGCTGTTGTGTAAGGCGGCCTGTAGTGTGGTGCTGTTTTGATGGAGGGCGGAGTCGTTGTGTGACGGTGGCGAGGAGGGCAGGCGGGAGCATCGCTGTGGTGTTGAGAGTCCTAGCTGGCTCCCCTCAACCCGCGCCGTCGCATTGTTCTTTACGTTGATACAGACGAGCTGGCTCTTACAGTGTGCTTCTCACGCGCCGGCTACTTGTATCGTTCCGCCATCCCATGAAGAGCGCCATCGGCGCCCTGTGGAGTGAGACCTAACCCAGATCCCCAACCGCACGCTTGCGACTCCAAAGCGGTATTCCCTACACCATCGGCGAGAGATCCAGCGCTCGAACTCCCTTCTCGTGTCCGGAGAGCCCCGAGAGAAGTAGACGCTCTTCCCGATCGCGTATAATCTCACTGCCACCCGCCTCCACGATCTCCGTAGAAGCGACGGCGCAAGCTTGTCTCTGACATGTGCCCACAGACATCCTCCTCTTCGAAACGCCCTTCCACCGAAGCGCCGTAGTTCTCATGTCCGCCGTCCTACTCGCCCCCCGACCATGTCGCCTCCACGTCCGTTCTCCACAGCATCACGGTATGGTACAAGGGGCGAGACAAAGCCGAGTGGCAGATATTCAACGGCTCGGAACACTGCTGGCGGCGTTGGAGGGAGCGCGTGGTAGTCCAGGACATGTCAGGTCAGCGGGTCGATCGAATTGCGTCGGGAGATGGACGCAGGGCAACCCGGGTCGAGGGAGGACAGCGCCATGACAAAGTGAGGGTGGAAGGCGAGAAAACGGGAGCACGTAGAAGTCCCGACGATGACAGATCCAAGTCAGTACATCAAAGGCGCGGACGACTTTCAGCGTCAACAGAAATCACGTCCGCACATATCCATGGCGCCCAAAGGCTTTTGAAAACAATATGAATTCCCTCTACCAAACTCTATCTCATGCTCCCGTCCATATGTCATTATATCCTTCCATCGTCGAGAAGGTATCGCGGGCATACTGGCAAGTTCAACCGATCTATTGCCATTCAATTCCATCATATCGCCGACGCGTATATGCTCCGCCAAGTCCTGTTTGTGATACGCGCTTCGATCGTCGAGATTGGTGTGTTCAAGATCTATAAGACAGCGTTAGACCAGCATGAAAGGATAAGAGAGAATCTACTTACAATGCGGTTTGGTAGATGGGAGCCAGCATGTGTACGTCCTTGCAGGGAGAAAAAGCACGCCTGCTATTCCATGCACAATGCCGAAGATCAGATGTATTTGATCGATTCGGGAATTGAGGTTGGGCAGGTCGGCGTGGAAATTGAGCAGAAAGCAGGATCGTGGTTGGCCGATCGACTGCTCTTCTGGTGTCTCTTTGCTAGACATCATCGTACATATGCTCTCGTGTCTCTCTCCCGGGCTGTAATCTCTGATACCTTGGACTGGGGACCTTGTCGTGTCAGGCATCCTTTGTCGCTCTGCGTGCACATATGCCATATCGAAACTCGAAGAACCGGAAGCCGTGTTGTATCGTCGTCGCATCGTACATTTTCATCCCTGTGGCGGTCTGTTAGCGTGGTGTACCATATAGTCATCAGCGGAAGTAGACCTCACCCTCTCTGATATTGGATTTAGTGTTGCGGCTCGCCGCGTGGACGGCCATGGCCCTTCTTCCCGCGGTATCCGCCCTTGTTGACCCAACCGCCGCGGCCTCCACTACCCGATCGTCCGTTATGATAGCTGCCCCCAGGTCCACGGTTATTGCGAGCATTGTCGGTCTCGTTTCGTCGGGCAGGGTCGCCGTTTCGGCTAGGGTAGTTGTGTCCTCCACGGGCGCGCCCGCCGTGAGGCTGGAAGTTAGAAGGCCGCTGACCTAAGGCACCGGTAGCCTCCGGGGTCTGGCTCTCTCGCGTGTTGCCACCAAATGGTATTCCCCCAGCCGCCTTCTTGATGTCATTCTTCAGAGGCGCCTGCTGATTGTCGGTGCCGGTGGCGTATTTGCTTCCTCCCAGGCCACTTGGCCCACGATAGACCTCCTTCTTCTTCGCGATAGAAGGCAGTTCTCGGGGCTCGAGTAGCGCGCCTAGAGGTGTGGGATCTGGGCGAGTATCGGCGGGAGCGGTCGAGCGAATGTTTGACGCTGGCAGCTGCACGTTGGCGTTGAGCGTATTCGTGATGGCTCTAAACTGGTGAGTCGCCGCAAATTCCGATTGCCGACCCTGGGCAGCACCGTGGATATTGAGGTTGTTGGGTGCCTCTGGTGCGGGCTGAGTCGTCTGCTCTACATTCGTCTGCTCAGGAGGCGTCTCGCTGGCCACGGCCCACTTGCTCGCTAGCATTCCAGAGTTCTGAGTAACAGGTTGCTTTGGAGGAGTGGTAGGGGGAGTGGGTGGCGGTCGGACAACGGCTTCGGCAGCTGCGTTCATCACCGCGCCGCCCACGGCCGGTGTCTGCTCGCTGCCATCATTTACCGGAGGATCGTGAAGGTCGATGAGATTCTCCTCCTCAACCTGAGTCACAGCTGCGTGTTGACTGTTCAGCGTCTGCTCGACTATCTTGGATTCCTCTGCCTCAGCGGCACTTATCCCGGGAGATAGCTGTTCGTGACCGGTTCGATCCAGACTCGACGGGCCGGCACTATACGGGCCGCCGCTATTCGGGTTGGCTCCATACGCGCTGACGCTATACGGGCTAGCACCGTAGCCAGCATGCATGGGTGGTGCGCCTTCTGACGTAGCTGCTCGCTGCTCAATTCGCTCGAGCAACCCGGGAGGAAGCACAGAGGGACGAGACGGCGACGAACGGCGAGGGTCAAGAAGCCCACATCGGTGCCACTTGCCAGTAATTAAATTCCATATCCACTCACCCCTTCCCAGTTCATCTTCATAAGGAATGGGCTTTGGATCGGGGCTCGTAGGAACTGGCGGTGGCACAAGACCATCCACATCGACGGAAGATACGGAAGAAGGGGAGCGAGACTCCGACCCAGAAGTAAAGACCTTCTCGCCCTCAGATTCAGAAGTGGAAGTTTGCGTATGCTCGTCGATCACGTCTGGGACCTTGAGCTCTGCGGTCGGCTTCTGGGGTGCATCGGCTTTCGTCTCCTTTGTCTCCTTCATGTCCTCTTCCTTCTTCTCCTTGTCCGCCCATTCTTGCTTCCTCCTCTTCCTATCCTCCTCTTCCTTCTTCGGCTTGTCTTCTGCTTCCTTCTTCTTCTTGGCCTCATCTTCCCTCCTCTTCTTTTTCTCTAGATCCTGACCATACGGCATGAAGTCGCCCATAAAGACACATTGCTCATGGAGCAGTTTCGCGGCTTCGTCTTCGTCGAGCATTTCCTGATTGAGTCCATACATATCGTCGTCGTCGTTAGTCTCTTGGCCTTGGTTGCTCTCACCTGGCTGGTAAGAATCCACATTCGCTTGTGGGCATTGCAAGTCTTGCGACTCAGTGATGAGCTGGGCCTGTCCCTCTCCGGTTTGCACAGCCCGGTTGACGAAATCAATCCAGGCGTTGTCATAGACGCTCGCTTCTGCCATCAGACGCATGCTCTGTGCTAGCAAGATCTCGTTCTCGCGGCTCAATTGCGCAATGCGGTCGTGCGTTTCTCGATCGCGCCGGACAAGGTCTTCATTCTCCTGCAGAACACGAACAGCACGCTTCTGCATGTTGGCCTCTTCCCCAGCCCATTCTTTTGAGACCTTTCTCGCACAAGCATGCCAGCCCCGCGAATTGTCAGCACAGAAGCGGCAAAAGCAACTGCTCGGCTTCTTATTGCCGTGAGCGTCCTCGAACGGGTCGAAGCGAGTACAACGGGGGCCCTCCTCATCGCCGATCTTCTGTTTGAGGCGATCATTCTCAGAAGCCAGGTTGAGATTGTTGGTCTCGAGAGTCTTGTAGTCTTTTCGGACGGCGGCGAGCTCGGCGAAGAGCTTCGCTATCATCTTAGACGAAGCGACGTCGTTCTGCAGAGCAAGCGTGCGTCCGCCCTTGGCCTGGAAGATCTCAGAGTCGAAGTCATCTTCAGTCACGTCATCTTCAAAGTGCGCTTCTCCGGCAAAGTTACGCAGAGTGAGAAGGAGCCGCTCGCTGAGCTCCTTCTCGCACTTCAGCGCATTCTCTAGATGGCGGATCTCCTCTACCCCGGTGACTTCTGCGACGCCTTCGCTGCCACGTGCCGCATCGAGAGCGTGCTCCAAGTCCTTGATCTTATCGTTGAGCCCGCTGATTTCGGCAACGAGCTTTTTGGCATGTAGTTCGCGATTCCGTTCATTGTTTTGGATCCCCTCCAAATAGCGTACGTATGCTCGATTGCCTTTGATCATGTAGATAACGGTTCGTAGCCTCGGTTCCTTCTCTGAGAGCTCCTCCAAAAATTCGACGACTTTCTGAGTTTTCGCGTCGGGTATGTCTGCTTCAAATTGTTTTTGGATGGCGTTGTCTTGCTCTTCTTGCTTTTGGATGCGCGTCTCAAGAGTGCGAATCGTGGCGTTTTTCTGGCCAACCTCCTGCATTGTTACATTCAGGCGACCCTCGACCTCGACAAGTTGTTTAGCCAGCTCTTCCGACCCTAGATTCTCTGCTTGGATTTCCTGGATCATGGCCTTTTTGTCCGGTAGCGCCTCACTGGAGAGTTGGTCCATAGCTGCCTGCTGGGCCATCATGCCGAGCTCAATCAGGTCGACGCAGTTCCCATAGATCTCTTCATCGGAGGCCGTGGTGGTGTGCTTGTCGGATCCCTGCTCGGACTTCTTAAGCTGAGCCTTTAGTGAGCGCAGCTCGTGGCCCGCGGTCTGCAGCTGGGTATTGAGGAGGGCGATTCTGCTATCCGCTTCATCAAGCTTATCCTGGGTTGCACCTAAGGAAGTTTCCAGCTCCGTGCTCCGTGCTTTTGCGGAGGAAAGCTTCTCAGCGACTTCCTTCGCAACATGGCCCTTCCGCTCTAGATCTTGCTTGGTAGAGACTAGAGAAGACTGCAAGCCATTGCGCTCCGACTGAACCTTCTCCAGTTCGTGCTTGACTTTCAGGAGCTCATCTGACCGAAGCGTCAGCTCATTCTTCTTCGCCTCCAACTTCTCCATCGACAGGTCCATCTTCCTGACTGCGCCCTCAAGTTCGGCGCGGGTGGAGTCGTGTGCGGCCTTCTCTTTCTCCAACTTGGCTTTGAGGTCTTTCAGCTCATCACCGGCGCGCTCGAGCTGGACCTCTCGATCCTTCACTTGCCCTATCTCGAGCTTGACGCGGTTTTCGTTGTCCTTCAAGCTCTTCCGAAGTGCAGCGTTCTGGCCTTCGAGATCCGCCGATCGCTGTGCACCGGCTTCCAGGTCTTTCTTCAGGCCGTCGCAAGCATCGACAGCCTTTCCGAGAGACTTCTTGAGGTTATCAACTTCAGCGGAGTGGTCAGTGCTCACTGACAAAGCAGTGCTTTCAAGATTCTCAACGCGGTTCTTCAGCTCTTCAACAAGTGTGGACTTCTCTCGCTCGATACGCTTGACGTCCATGACTTCACGCTCAAGGTCTTGAATGCGGACATTCTTTCCGGCGATCTGCTGCTTCAGACCTTCGGCGTTGTCGGTCGTCCGCGCAAGCTGAGATGGATCCTCTTCCCTCGCCTCTAGCTTGAATTCCAGCCCCCGAGGCGTGCTTGCCGCAATGTGCGGGCCGGACTTCGTACGCTCGGCGTTGCTCTTCAAGGCTTCGATGCGCTCTTCTAGCGTCCGCTTGCTTCGTGCATTCTGGAGCATTGCCTGGAAAAACCGCTCCTCGTCCGCACTATTCGAGAAGATGATACCCATGAAATTGAACTGCGCAGGCGCCTCTGGCCTCACGGGTCGCGAGGTATCGGGAGCCATGTCGCACGACGGA